TTCCAGAATAGTATCTTTATTTCCTTTCTTCCCTCTCTCTCCCTTTTTTCCCTATTGTTTACGAAACCCTTTCGCCCTTTTTCCTACCATTTTTCCCTCTTTCTCGCTTCACCGCCATTCTTCTTCCTCTGACTTCACCACGTTATGCCACATCTTTACCTCTTTACCTTTACTTTTTATTTCTCTCGCTTTCCTTCTTACTTCCTCTCTTATCTTCCTCTGCTTCCACGTTCAGTCCTGATCTATGTAGATCTTTTTCTGTCCCAGCTTATTTTTCCTTTTCATAATTCCTTCTTTTCGTTCCTATTACGCATCTAATTTGTCACATCTTTGTTCCTCTTTCTCCTCGATCCTCTCTCCCCGTTTTCCCTCCTATTCTTCTCAGATTCACTATCTCCTCTTTCATTTCTAGTTCCTCCCTTAACCAGTCTTCTGCCTCTCCCTTCCTTTCTCATCTTAACCTAAGTCTATCACTATTATCATCTAAATCTGTCACTATTATATTGTTTATCCTACTTTCTCTATTCATTTTTTCTCTTATATACTCTATTTCTTCCTGATTGCCTACTTCTGTTCCTCTTTGCTTCTTGTTTCCTCCTTCTATACTTTCTTTTAGTTTCACGCACTCCTCTTCCAACTGGTTCATCCTCTCTTTCCATTTTTCCTGCAGTTTCTTTTCTCTACTTTCTGCTTTTTCCCTTTCTTCTTTCGTCTCTTTCTTTCTTTCTTCTCTCTCTTTCTCTCTTGTTCTCTCCTAACTTTTACTATTTCTTTCTCCTATCTTTCTTCTTTTCTTTTCTCCTCTGCCTCCATTCTTTCCATTTTTCCCATTATTTCTTTAAACATTTCTATCCATTCTTTTCTTTCATCCTCCCATGCCTCTCTTAAATCCCTTATATCTGCCCGTATCTTTTCCATTATATCTTCTGCACCACTATTTTTTCCCACTTCTCTTATCGTGTTGTCCAATCCTTCTCCCCCCTCCCCTTCCATCTCGCTCCCCTCGCTGCCACTCTTGCATCTCTTTGCCTCTCTCATTTCTCCTCTATTATTCTCCCTCAGCCCCTCTCCGCTCTCTCTGCCCCTCACCACTTTTACTCTTTTCTTCTTTTCCTCCTCTGGGCCTTTCTTATCCATCCTTCCACCTTTATCTCTTAATTTTTCTGTTGTCACAAATCTTTCCATCACTGTCCCGTACGCCTTAATTCGACTCTCTAATTCTACTCGTGATCCCACCTTTATTCCCTGTTCTACCTTTTCTTACTCCGCCTTTACTTCTTACCGCCCCTCCTCTCTACCTGACTTTCCCACTTCCTGATTTTCTCTCTTAATCTCAACTTTTCTTTTTTCTTTATTCCTCTCTCTCTGCTTTTTCCTGCTCTTCTCCAAGCCTCTCTCTCTCTCTCTCTCTCTCTCTACTCCACTCCTCTTTCGCCTTCACGCTCTTTTCACCTCTATTTCTCTCCTCAAACACTTTTCCTCTTTAACTTTCTCACCAAAACTCGCACTCACAGCCAAGACACGTCCACAGTCTTTCACCGGCCTTCCTTCTCCTCGTACTTGAAAATATATAATCAGTACTTCCCGAGGCTAACATCAATTTAATATGGTGATGATCAAACAATAGCTATATATTGTACAATTGAGAATTTTTTTATTTTCTCTCCTTATAAAAAAACTAATTTGAAACGCGGAATTTGGACACGGTATAATGATAGAACAGCCACAAGTGTACAACACACCTAGATGCGTTACGAATAGGAGAAAAAGAAATTTGGGAACCCCCCTTACCCCAGCCGGCAAATTTAAATTATAGCCAAAAAAAAAATACCAATGGGAAGGTATGTAACTGCACCCTCCAAATACGCTAAAAAATCAATCTGCACCCTTCTACATTAATTAATAAAAATTAAAAACCAATGGTAATATTTTCATATTTTCAAACAGCGATAACTCCAAAAATATTCAATATTTCTGAATAAAACTTTTATAAAAAAACTGCACCCGGACCGATTCTAATTGCACCCTACTTAATTTGTCCAAATTATCACCGTTAGTTAAAAAATTGGTAAAAAAAACAAATTCCCCATTTGAAGTATGCACAGGATGCTCAATGAGCATGCGCGGATGCCATCTCGTCATCTAGTAAAATTCAAAGATAAAAAAATAAATTCAAAATTGCATTCAGTGTTCCAGACTGGGGAACACCTGATCGGATCGACGTTGTTTACATGTGTACTTTAGCCAGCAAAGTGCAAAGTGTTGATTAGAAAGCTGCGAGAGGATGAGAAACGGGAGAAGCTGTTGCTGACGACGTAAAATTAGCTGCTTGCTAAGAATCCGGCCAAGTGAGAGGGCATACAAAATAATGTCACTGCAGTTGGTTTAGGTAAGTTATCACAGCAATTAATTCAGTGTACTTCGCTGCCTTGGAAGGTTTGATTAGACGAATATTTACTGCTATTAGGATTACATTTCAAATTTTCGTAACTAACAGTTATTTCATTATTCAATCATGTTTGCAAAGTAATTTCATAAAAAGGAACATATTCTTTTATTCAAAAAAGCAATAAATATATTTGACTTGGGAGATTTTTTCAAAAACAACTCCAGACCAAAGCTCTCTTTTTCGCTTAAGCAACTAACGTGAGTGTATTCAATCGATGTAGTTTTTAATATAATATTTTTGATATCTTTCGAAAAGTGGTTCGGTGGTATGATCCTCTGATTAAAAGAAACCATGTTTTTAGACGTTGAAAATCTTTAAAGCAAGATGATCATTTTAAGGGAGTACGGTGGGTACGTAACTAGTTAGTTGAGAGAACGCCTTGACTTTTCACTAACTCACATAGTAGCAAGCGTAAGTTTGGCAACGTCGCACATATGCTGGCTCTCACATGTTGCCCTGTTAGTGTGTTATTGTTGTATCAGCTATTATCGAATGGACAAGTCACTAAGAATAAGAAAATAATTCACAAGTTGAGTGATTACTTGAAGACTGTTACTTCGGAAAATATTTTTTAATTACTGTTTCTAATTTTTTTTAATAAGAATTGTTGCAATAAATACAGATTTTATTCAATTTGTTACTGTTTTTTTATTAATAGTCTTTTTCTAAGTAATTGTAATCAAGCCAAACAGTTGTACATTTTAAAGCAATGCGTCACTCAAGCATACATATTTGAATCGGGGAGCGCAGGTTAAATACGACGTTGCCGTATCTCCTATTCGCTGACGTCACTTATCATTTTACGGTAGAAATTATTTAATTACGATCAAACCAGGTTCTGATTGATAATTTTGAAAACGGATATGGATGTAGAATCATTTTTTACACAACTTAGAATTTTTTCGGAATTTTTTCATTTTTGAAAGCTTTAATAAACGATAAAAAGTACATTTCCCCATAAGATTACATGTTAATTTCAATAATTAATTATCGGCTTTGAAACTCTGAACGATTACCAAATTTGAACCATAGCTTTAAAGCATTTTAGTAAAGATATAGTTAAAGTTTCAAACGATTCTCATTTTTAGTTCTATCTCCCACCGTACTCCCTTAATCTAATAATATAATAATTACATTTTAATTGATGTCGTCGATACTTTTGTAAATTTATTTTAAGTTCCTCAAATTGGTTCTGTTGTTAGACTTTTTCATAATACTTTCCAGTTTTAAAGGGAGTAGATTATGAACCTGTCGATGGAAAACCTGTTACTTTCAGTGTAGAAACATTGAATTCTCATGGAATATCCCATTTAACAAAGGGACGTTTATCTGGTCCAGAGAGAAAAAAAGTAAAAGAACATTTAGAATCTAGAAAACCAAGACAATGGAAACTAGAAGAAGTTAATAGGGAAATGGAATATGGAGATCCTGATCCACCATTTCTTTATAGCCAAGAAGTTATACAAAAAACTAGGCATGAGGTAAAATATGAAAAGTTAGGATTAAAATCAGGGGAAAGCGTATTCGACTCACTTCAAAGATTAAAAGGTGTTTGTCTCCATGGACCGGGGCCTAAAGTACACATGTAAACAACGTCGGTCCGATCAGGTGTTCCCCAGTCTGGAACACTGAATGCAATTTCAAATTTACATATTTTTTTATCTTTGAACTATACTATAGATGACGAGATGGCATTCGCGCATGCTCATTGAGCAACCTGTGCACACTCCAAATGGGGAATTTGTTTTTTTACCAATTTTTTAACTAACGGTGATAATTTGGACAAATTAAGTAGGGTGCAATTAGAATCGGTCCGGGTGCAGTTTTTTTATAAAAGTTTTATTCAGAAATATTGAGTACTTTTGGAGTTATAGCTGTTTGAAAATATGAAAATATTACCATTGGTTTTTAATTTTTATTTATTAATGTAGAAAGGTGCAGATTGATGTTTTAGCGTATTTGGAGGGTGCAGTTACATACCTTCCCATTGGTATTTTTTTTTTGGCTATAATTTAAATTTGCTGGCTGGAGTAAGGGTGGTAATTCGGGATGGGTGACCGAATGCTCATCCCTCAGGGTCTGTCTCCATAGGGCCTGCCTGAGTCCGTCCGAGCCGGCCTAGATTTCTTATGTGGACGCCATCTCTATAATTTCGTGTTCAATGGCGAGTTTCATAGTGAATGCAAGAAACGCATCTATGGAGTGGCAGTACCCGTGGTTTGAAGTTTCCTGTCTGGCTGTCTCTATGCTCTGGCTATCCTCCATGTTCCTGCTCCAATTTTCATTCGGTAAGTTCGTAATTAATAATAATTCGTAACTAATTCCTACTTTTATTTTCATAAAATTGCAAGTTTCATAATCCCTTTTTAGAGTCATATGCACGAAGAGTTAGGCTTTCGAAATCCGTCAACTGTCAAATGACAAGTAGTAGCAGCAGCAGCAGTAGTAGTTGTAGTAGCAGTAGTAGCTGAGGGCAGGTGGTAGGTGAGAGAATCACAATGGCAGCCGAAATCAAGCCCGCGCCCGGGATGAACCAGATGGACAAGTTCAACTCCAAGAAGCCTATACTTCTGTCGAAGCTCGAGGGTTGCAATGACGACGTCAATGCCGCCGTTATCATTCCCAGGGTTGACGGCGTCATCAGCGTCTGCGACGACAGGTCAGACTCACTTTTCTATTATGTTTGCAATGCTTCTGATACTCGATGCATATCTATATGATGTATATACGATTAATTTATTTACATCGCATGCTTCTAGCTCGACTCTTATTTGACTCATTGTTTATAATGCAAATAGCAATCGTACAGTCACTTGCATCTTTTGTTAGACTTTTTTCAGACTATTTTTTGCATTGTACATATTTTTTACTCCTATTTTTTCATGTAATATATAATTTAATTAAATTATAGGTAAAACAGCAAGCTTTTTGTTATAAGTAAATAATAATTGTATGACACCTGAACAATCTTTCTTTATCTGCAAGTTCCTAGATAGGATGATTCAGACTGATTGCTTTATCTATTTGGCCTTTAAGCAATGTTTTGCTGTATTTTAGTTATGAATAAATTTTCTAATTACTATTGCAGAACTGTCAGAGTTTGGTTGAAACGTGACTCAGGACAATACTGGCCAAGCGTATGCATGTACATGGTTGCAGCACCAACCTCTCTTGATTTTTGTCCTGAAACCAGACAGCTGTTTGTTGGATTAGATAATGGCAGTATAAATGTATTTATCAAGATCAAATTCATTTATAATTTCTTCAAAAATTGTGAATCAAACGAATTTTTGGTTTTGTAGGAGTTTTTATTGGAAAGCGATTACAATCGTATGACAGCCATTCGAGAATACATGGCTCATCAAGCAAGAGTTGCTGCAGTAGTTTTTTCTTTGAGCTGTGAATGGGTACTTAGTATAGGTAGAGACAAATTGTTCCAGTTCCACAGTACTGAAAATGGAAAGGATCACATCAAATAATATGTTCAATAATCCAAAAGGTAACGTCTACAAAAAGTTGCTGTACCACATGCATGGAACATACACCTACAACATGGTGAGCATTATTAAAAATTTATAATAAAAAAACCTTTTGTTTTTCATAGTATATATATATATATATTTATATATAAACAATGAAATAACAAAACTATAAGAATTAAAGGTTATAAATGCACGTTTTTTTATTCAATATTTTTCTTAAATTCTGCAATGTACAAAATTATTTCCTTCGTACATTGGTATTTTCTTGATTCTGGTATTTTACTGTAACCAGATGCAATTAATTTTAAAAATGGTTCAATTTCTGGCATTCGATCAGTCGTGGTAGTTGCTACATTATTTTGTATTATTTTCATCAATTTTACGCTTTCATCAATGGTTTTTTGTAAGTCATCGCCATCATCTACTTTTCGTTTCCGACAAAATTTATTGGTGATTTCAGATTTTGTTATAAACTCCATGTCGTCTGAAGAAATTTGTAGTTCATGACTCAGATATGGATCAAGCCAACTCATCTCATTATACAATTCCCAGGTCACTTCGGGTTTTCTTTCTGATCCAGATGGCTGGTATTTGCGTTTTTTTGCTTTTTCTCCTTTGAATTTTTTTACTAAATACAACCATCTCGCTTCAATCTCTTTTTCTATTATTGATTAATGAATATTATATATACATATATATATTTTTTTATTTAAAATAAAGATTTATAGTGTATGAATTTCACCTGTAATGTGCACTTCGTATAGTTGATAAATCGCTTGGGAAATAGTTTCGAAAACTTGTGTTCGTTGCGATCTAAATTCAGTATAATATTTGTCATTCGACTTATCGTAAATAAAATTGTTTGGTTTCACCATTTGTATGATAACTTCATCAAGTAGTATATCTTTTTCAGTGTTTCCACTCATTTTTTATTTATGGCAAATTCAATCGAAGAACTATTGTCAATTTGAGGTTATCGGAACTGCTTTGCTACGCATTTAATTTTGAATAAGGATATACATCCATTTTCACCTCGTACAACGTACATTGAGTGTTGTGCTACACCTGAATTTGAGGTTATCCGACCTGCTTTGCTGCACATTCATTTTCATAAATATCTAAAATTAAAACTAATGTATTTGTTACTAAATACTTAAAACTAATATACCATTTGTTTTTTTGTTTTTTTCAAGTTTCTACACAATATGGAGGAGTCTTTTGAAAGAAATATAAATCTCGATAAAAAAATTTGTGTTTATTTGAAAAATTATTCATGTTTGTATGATAAAACACATGAAAACTATTATTTAAGTTAAATGTCCTATTGACTGGTAAGTTATCATTTATATTATTATAGTATTTTTTTATATACAGAGAGTGAAAATACATTAACTGCATTTACTTTTGTTTTAGGTGCTATTGTAAAAAAGGAATGGGAAAATATAAGAAGGACTTTTGTTAGAAAATTTAACAAACCTCATTTAAGCAAGTACTACTTATACAATGAACTTCAATTTCTCATCCCTCACGTCATGAAAAAATACCAGTGTTTGGGATCAACAGAAAGTGATGAGCCGTCAACATCAAAAACTCAAGATATTGAAGTATGTAGTGAAAAGAACGATAAAATCATTCCACCAGTAAGCCAATGTTACTTTAATAAGAAAACTCATCTCGAAGAATTAGAAATGAAAGTTTTAAAAAATACAAGTACAGCTATGGAAAATATAAACATTTTAATGAAGGATAGTGATAATGAAGAGATTAAAGATAATTTTGTATTATGTATACAGCAAAGTTTGCAGTATGTCCCATCAACCCATGTGTTGGAATGTGTTAATGGGATATTAACTATTATGGATAAGTTTATGATATCTAATGAAGAATAAATATTAAAAATAAAGACTAACTGCTCTTATTTCTTTAATATATTTATTTTCTCAACTCATTTATATTGATTATTAGTAGTTTCATGTTTGAAAGATCCTGACATAAACCGTATTACAATATAAAAAAATATTTAAATATTATAAAGATCGTATATAATAAAAACGATTAATTTTTCTTTAAAAAACCATTCAATTCAGAATAAGTTATATTTATTAGTTACTATTTGGAAAACCTTTAACTATACACCTTTACAAAAAAGATAAATCTGAATGGCATTTACACGCATATGAACTTCTCCACTTCCTTGAGGATAATATCCTTTTCTTATAAACATCAAGCTCAAAGTTTCCACCAAATCTGTTCAACAGAGGTCTAAAAACATACTTAAATACTCTATATGAGGGCCAAAAGGTACATTAGTTCCTCCTTTGAGGATATAAGTTGCTGCCCTAGATGAAAATAGAGCACAAGGTAAAGTAACTTGAATGAGCAAACCAATACATCCAGCTGCATAGACATAGTAAGTATAGACCGTCAGTCTCTTTGATATGCCGACGCTCCAGAGTAGAAAGAGAGAGAACGAGCCGAGTGTGCACGTCTGTCTCTTACTAATGGAGTCACGCGGGCTCGCCTCGCTCGAGTGTACGTTTGGCGCGCTCAGCCGTGCAGTTCAAAAGCGAATATGGAAAACAAATTTTTTTATGTATGCGTTGATCGTTTAAAAACACGCTTGTCTAATAGTTGAAGACAAAATGTAATGTACTTTTTTTCAGTTATATCATCAATTTGTTTCGTGATGAAAACGCGCTGCAATATATGTGAACATGAAAGGTATGCAGTGGAAAGTTGACAAAGGATGCGTATTACATTTTATAAAATATTTTTACACCAGTTAAATTATGAGTTAGCTATGGTCAAATAGTTAATCGATAACTTTAATCCCAAGTACATTAGGCTAAGCCCCCTCCCCTGCCGACAAGTTTATATAATACTTCCAATACTAATGTAACGTATGCAACGGTAGCTATGCCGTTTAAGGCGTCGCATCTTTTTGCACTCGCGCATTAGAATCGTGGGTTCAAGCCCCTATCAGAAATTTTTTTTTATTTCTAAGTAAATATGTCAACGTTGCGTTTTTATTTATTTTTTATTTTAATCAATGCACGACTAATTAATGGTATAATTTAATTTATTTCAAGCTATTGCACGAATGACCTTATTTTGAACTGCGTGTTTCGTGCTGTTGATCACAACCCATTTTATTCTCTATTGTCAATATTTCTTATTGCTACATGAATTAAGAAAAAAAAGATATGTATTTATGACATAATAATTTTATGTCGTTTCCATCGCATCCCTGTAGTACGTATACTATTTTATAGCACTCATATATACATTTATATTATATTCGTTTTATGTCAATCAATCACTCAATATAATTAATCGTAATCCCAAGTACGTCAGGTTCAGTCTTTACGCCAACGAATATGTATATACTTCCAATACAAATCTATCATATGCAGTGGTAGATGTGCAAGTTAAGGCATCGGAACTTTTTGCACACACACACTTGAGTTCTGGGTTTGAATCTCCATTTACGCACATTTTTTTTATAAATAAATATTGGTGTCTATTATTATTATTATTATTACTATTATTACTATTGTTGTTGTTGTTATTATGATTATTATTATTTTGTTGTTCTGTTAATATTTGCGTTATATTTTTTTCGATCAACACATTTGAGCTATTTTTCTTTATAACTTACTTTATGTATCGTAAGCTACGGAAAGATATATTCTACTAACAGTCGGAGCCACCGTTTATTATATAATGTATATTTGTACAAAAACGAGGTTTGATTTATTATTTTATGTTTAGTAATTATTAGTTTTACATAGTATTCGCGTGATAGTAGAATATTCATACATAGTATGAATATGATTTCTTTCATTCATCATATTGAAGCAAATATGCCGCCGATCCTTTTTTGTTTTTTGCGCCTCTTGTTTTTCTACTGTTTTAAAGCATGCACAGGCGCGGGACTTGCCGAAAACATCGAAAAGTCGAGGAAGACTGCACAGCGCCTTTACGTTCGATTGTTCCGTAGTGCAAGCACATTAAGTGATTATTGTTTGTTGGATGTAATATTCTTAATACATTGCGCAAAAGATGGTTCGTTATTGTTATATTTGTAAAGAAGAAAAACAAGGCGTTTTGGACGGTAGATCCTTTCATAAGTGAGTATATTTTTATCTATCGAATATTTATTTTTAGGTTGTTCATCAAATGGAAAAGTACTTACGAAAGCAATAATTATTGGTGAAATTTTATATTCAAATAAATGATTTTATATGGGTTTGATCGCGTAGATAACTATTGTGGTATTACATGAAAGAATAATATGCATTTCATAGATTTCCAATAAATGAGGAAGAGAAAGAAATCTGGTTGAAAGCTCTTGGAAAAATCAGTGTAGCAAATACTGCAGTTGTTTGCTCAAACCATTTTGTTGAAGAAGATTTTTCTGAGTATGCAAATCCTGAACGTAGGAGATTAAAACCCACACAGCATGAATTAATTCTAAAATAATTCAAAATTAATTTATGAAATAATATAATTATTTTAGAATTAATTCAATGAATTAATTCTGTATTAATTTTATGTCCGTTTTTTTTCCTCTAGAAATATAACGAATATTATTACTACATTAATTGACTAAAATAATTTTCAAATATTACATGCATTTTAGAAGAATTATTTTATGAAATATTAACGTAATAGTTTTGAAATTATTACAGTTAGAATATTTTGAATTGTTTCAAAATTAATGTTTAAAATTAATATTGAAGAAATAAACAGCGGACATAAAATTAATACAGAATTGATTCACTGAAATAATTTTCAAATATTACATGCATTTTAGAAGAATTATTTTATGAAATATTATTATAATAATTTTGAAATCATTACAGTAAGAATGTTTTGAATTGTTTCAAAATTAATTTTCAAAATGATACTTAAGTAATAAAAAGCTGGCGTAAAATTAATACAGAATTGATTCACTAAAATAATTTTAAAAGATTATATCCATTTCACAAGAATTATTTTATAAAATACTATCTAATTACTTTTAGAATTATTATAAAAAATTTAAAATTATATAACACAACTAGATATACTATAAATAAATTATTTACTGAATATATAAGTAAAATTTTTAAAATTATTAAAAGTGCTATATTTTATATAATTATGGAAGAACACGAAATAAAATAATTGATAAACGTACAGTATTTTATTTAATGTTTACTTTAATATTATCTAGTATATGGTGTAACGGGGTTTCTTACCGTTTAATTATTTTTATTCGCGCAAGTTTATTGAAGGGCGAATGTAATCATCTATGCTTAATACATAATCCGGAGAGCATGGAGAAACAGGTGTCAGTCAACCAATAGATCTACTAATCTACGAAAATGAGTGGAAGCAATATGGAATAAGCGAGTCGAAAGCACTTTTTAATAACACGAACAGAATCTTTTATTGTCTATCAAATATTACACTGGATCGGCCCGCGAGTTTATGTTGACATGAGCGCTCGCTCATCGAGGACACACAGTGTCGGGACGCTCGCTGCTCTTTGTTAACAGAGCTATTGCATGCACGCTTCGAACACGAGAAATTAATTGTTATACATGCAACCACAATCGCGAGATTAAGCTGGCCAGCTTACCTTTGTTTTGCGGACGCTCGAAGATGACACCAATAAGTCGCACTCGGAAAAGGTCTATTGTTTGTTTGTGTCGCGAGTCGCGAACTTAAAAGCACGTGGCTTCGCCCTCGATGGCGAAATCTCACGCACGCACTAGCGTTATCACCGCGCATGGCGCCTTTGTCTGCTGGTTCAAGCCTTCGCCCTTGTGAGCTGCACGGCACCTCGGCTGCGACGATCTCTGGAACTCAGGTCTTGGTGCTCTGCGAACGGAATTCTGCTTCGATAACTCGGGAAGTGACAGCTGGTCTCGTACACACCGGCGAACTCGTTGATGGTCAAAGCTTCACTGGTTCAATTTCAATCGCGCGCGTTCCGTCTGCTCGCGTGCCGAATTCTTTCGTTACGTTTTTCGTCTCCCCGGTAGATGCTGCCTCCGCAGGCAGCAATTAGGTTATATTATTAGCGCTAATTTGACGTTTACCGTCACAATGGATATATATTAGATATACATTATAAATATTACATAAAGCAGATTTCTTATCGAATTTTCACATTGAATTTCTTTCAATTTTAACGAATAATAATAAAAAATGGAAGTGCTTAACGCAATGCT